CGGAGTCCCGCAAGACGGGCATCTTGAGCTATTCTTGGGCCAGGATACCTGCTGACAACAGGGTACGTACGTCCCCTGATCCTTGGTGCTGAAGCTTGACCCTCTTCGGGACGAACCGCTTTCCGAGCCAGTGGGCAGGTAACTCATCGTCTTGGACCTCCAACAGGACGTTCGTAGGAGGTCCTCATGGGCCTTCTGGCGATATTCGTATGAGGCCCTTATGGGTTGATGGGCCGGCCCTTGTTGGGCCATTAACCCAACAATATTATATTGTTGATTCACAATGATAAAAGACTTACTTTGTTTCACGATCTTATTATTGAAAACATGTTATATTATGATTATCATAAAAATATGACATGTCTCATGCCCGATTAAGATGTACAAAATATCAAAGGTAAATTTACAATATTCATCCCGTAACTTTTGGCCTTTATCATTATTAGTCCCATAACTTTAGTCACTTGCAAATTTGGTCCTCTAACTAATTAATATTTGCGATTTAAGGACTTCCCCCCTGAAAAGTACGAAAAAATTTCACTTTTGGTCCCATTACTATTATACCACTTCCACATTTAGTCCATTACTTTCAGATTGTCCACATTTAGTCCGTGACCATTGTCCTCTCACCACCCCTCGTCCTTCCGGGCAAAAATCCGGCAAATTTTGTCCACTTCTCAGCCTCAGAATCAGTCATTGCATTAAATTTTGTATCAGGTTAGGTTTTTCATACCAGTCTTGCATTAAATTTGGTTTTTCATACCTAAAATCTGCATTAAATTTGCCGGAATTTTGGTCGAAAGGACGAGGGGTGGTGAGGGGATAATGGTCACGGACTAAATGTGAACAATCTGAAACTAAGGGACTAAATGTGGAAGTGGTATAATAGTCATGGGACCAAAAGTGAAATTTTTTCTGAAAAGTACACTTTCCGACAATAGTATACCGGAAAATATGTCGCCGGCGTCGAACTTTTCCGCCGGAAAGTATACTTTCCAGTGGGAAAGTCCTTAAATTACAAAGATTTATTAGTTACAGGACCAAATTTTGTTAGTACTTAAAGTTACACGAACAAAAACGATAACAGTCGAAAGTTACAGGATTAAAATTGTAAATCTCCCGCTATCAAATAATTGGTCGTATAATGCCGAATATAAATGTATTAACATTTCTCAGGGACCCGAAATATAATTCGTGTATTCCACTCATGCTTGGAATCATTCGCCAAATTAACTGCTAAGCTGGGTAGCTAAGTGACTCGTTTCAATACTAGCTTTCACTTTTTATCTTTCCAGATCTTTATTGACTGAGATGGCTTTATTCTACATCATCAATAAAAATAATAATAGACAACTGTTGATAATGCTTTATTCTGGCCATTCCCCTTCGTTGGCGATGAACCCACCACTTAGTCATGAACTAGAAAAGGCACACTCCTAAATTATACTTCAAGTAGTTCTGCACAACTTTAGCCATGTATAAGATATTAAGATCCTTTTACAAGGGGTGAAGTGGTGAACCAATTATATAAGTTAATCACACCTCTATTTCCACCCTTTATAAGATGTAATAATGCATTCTAGTCGATAAGAAATGATGAATTTAATTAGGAAGTATTTCTTAAATGCATGAGTATATACACATGGTGTTTTTATGTTATTGGTTAGCATAGACAGGATGTTTTTATGTAATTATTCAAAGTTGAAATGGATCAGTTTTATAATTATTGTAAAATAAATATGAAAATATCATCACTTTGTCCATCTGAGTAATTTATTACAAATACAAATGCTGAAACTTTCCCCGTGTGCCTACATATTTCTATTCAAAATAATTACATATTATCCCTCCCGTCCTAAATAAAGTTTAGTGTTTGACTTCACACAAATTAAAGAAATAAAATTATGGATGTTTTTACTTGGACTGTAATTCGTCCCAGACCAGACCAGATCAGATCAGACCAGACCAGACCAGTTCAGAGCAGACCAGCCAGATATATTGAAGAGGATATCAAAAGCTTGTGTATATATGAGATCTGCCATTTTCTTTTATTTTCCTGGTATTAGCACTGCCAGATGATCAGTAGTAAAGGGTGATGTATGAATTGAAAAGACCGAAACAAAGAAAATAAGTAGTAGAAAGGAAAATATGTGCATGCAACATGAAGACCTATAATAGTCTCCAAGACTCCATCTATAAATTATTCCTTACTTGGTTTAAAAAAGTGAGTACATAGTATCGTAGGTTTGTCCCATGAGACAAAGTTAGTACCAATGTAGGTATGTTAACCAAATAAAAATGACGGAAAGTGAAACAAAACTAAATCTTATCCCCAAAATTTTCTTGGAAATTGGATTCAGGAATGCTTATCAAGAATGTAAAATAGTATAGTTGTGGTTAATAAAAAAGATAAGAAACATGGGATAGAGGAAATACAATTAGAGAACGAGCTTGAGATAGGATTACTATTAGGGGTTTTCCCCTAGATATTACTAAATTTAGATCAATTTCCAAAAATGTGACCACTTTTAAATATTGACAAAAATGTGACTAACAAAGGTCATATATTTGGGAAAATTGATGTCACTACTAAATTCATGTCACTATCAGCATATCACTGCCATATCTTCATGTCACTTTCGGATGTCACTACCGTGAAACAAGTCACTATGATCACTGAAGAATTTTCCGGCGACCTTTCCGACGACCTTTTCCGGCAACATTTCTGACGACCTTTTCCGGCGAAATTGAACAACACGTTTCCAGCCTCTACACTGTCACTATCCCAACCCCCTGCAACGGCGCTACCACTGCCCCTTGGAATTCCCCTGCAATGGCCCTACCACCGCTGCCATGAAACCCTACGCGGCTGCACGCCGTTTGTGGTCGTAAATCAGATTTGGCCAGCCAACCACCAACCTACCCCGGACAACAGCTCTCAACCCCAACCACAAGCCCTGCACCACCGGTCGTAGTCCGTCACCGTAGCTTCCATCACAGCCATAGCCACCGCTCTTCATCATCATCAAACTCCAATCGATCTCGTCGGTCGCCATACCAACACTCGCAGCCGTCCGCCACATCTCTGTCACGGCATCTACAGATCTGAAGGATTTCGATCCCCTCCATAGAGAATCGAAGAAGACAATGAAGAAAGGAGAAGAATGGAGGAGATGAGGTGCCTATGGAGTCAACACTCGAGATGTGGATGCGGAGAAAGCAGAGATGCGGCAGAGGTGGTTGGAGGTTGTTCGCCTGGGAGCCTTGGACGCACTAGATGCAGATGGGAGAGACGAGAGGGATCGAAAATATGGGCTGGTCACTTTTTTGTCTTAACCTAAATTAGTCATACTTTTGTCCATTCAAACCTTGTAGGTGATATTCTTGCCATTATTTCTTACTATTATAGGCAAACTATATGCTACCTTTTTCCCATTGGACATGAAAAGTAATGTTGTTATTAAGAAAAATGAACTTATATGGGGTTGACATTGAATTGATAAATTAAGAATAAAATAAAAGTATTTTTAATCAAACAAACTTTACTAATTTTGTATAAGACAATCTTAACGGAACGAATCGAGAAGGAAAACTGAGAAAATCTTAGTGGGATGGAGGGAATAGTACCTTTCAATTTGTGTCAAATATAGACAACTAATTATATGTTGATATAAAGAGGTATTTACCTAAATAGGAGTAAATCAATTTTTAATTGCCAAAATAGGACTAAAGTCTAAAAATTTCCTAAATAGGAGTAATAATCTGTAATTGGACAAAAATGCCATTTATGCGTGGAAGTGATACTGCTGAGACCAGAACACAGGACAACTGCCCTTCGCCGGTCACCGGACATCTCGGTCGCCTCAAAAACAGGCCTCCGTTGTAGATCAGGATGCCGCCGTTGTAGATCTGGACACCGCCGATGCAGATTTGGCTAGCGTCGCCGGAGATCTGGACACCGTCGGCCGTCGGAGGCTGCCCCTGCAGGTCTAGCCACCGTCGCACCGTATCCGGCATCTACTGCTGCAAATCTGACCTCCTCAATTCCAGATCTGGCCGTTGCCGAAGTGAATGCCAATTTTTTTATCAGAATGCTATGGCGATTTGCAAAGGAAAATACAAATTTTTTGAAGACAAAGAATGTCATTTTGATGGCTTTTTTAGAGTTTAACTTGGCATTTTGTTATTTTTGTAAGAATAAGAAGAAACGGAGTATAGGGAAGATGAATACCATCTCTGACAGTGGCGACGGAGGATTTCGCGATGGCGGCGGCGGACTTCGCGATGGTAGCGACGGACTTCGCGATGGCGGCTGCGATGAGGAAGGAGAGAAGACGAGCAGGTGAGGGCAGAGGTGGACTGAGCTTCTAGGATCGTTGATTGAAGAGAGGATGAGGGAATTGTGCGCAGGGGAGGAAGCGTACGTGCGCAGGGGAGGGGGAGGGAAGGTCTGCGCAAGGGAGTTAGAGAGGAATTAAAGAGGAAGGAAATAGGGAGGTAAATAGGTAATTTAGTCCTATTTAGGGAACAAAAATATAGATAATCCTATTTAGGAATTTTAGGAATAATTTAGTCCCATTTGGAGCAAAAAAATCTTGATATAAATCAATAACTATACATATCCATTTAAATACGGTACCCTCACTTAGTAGCTAGACATGTGAGTAACATATTAATGGAATGATTCAAACGAAGATAAATATATAGTGCGTGGAGTGGTGATAGTAAAATAATGATGGACATTTAAACACTCTACCCTCACTTAGTAGATAGTGGAGTAAGGCATTTCAAAGATGGATTCACCCCTTTGAACAAACATCTCTGTGGTCACTTATTCTTGAACTTTCCTGCTCTCGAGTTTGCTTAATCACAGAGATCTGTAGTTAAGTAAGAGTTACATATATTCTTTTTAAAATCAAATGGTGCTAAAGAGGGATGGACACCCTTTTGGCCTCCATTTAACACACTAGTTTTTAGTCACTCAGTCAGTTCAAGGCAGATTTCTACGAATAATATTCATAGTTCACTATAACAGTGCAGAACCCACTAAATATTGAGCATTGAATGGACATGAGGGAATGCACCATATGGTGGTGCCACCAGGTCAGTCGATATTAGTCCTTGCTCGGTTACATTCTCCAATTCAAAGGGTTTGTTACCCCAAAAGGCTCAAAAATATCCGAAATTAAAATGGAAAAAGTTTAGATGAATACATCCGATCTCAAGACTAAGCAAGGAAGCACACTTTTGAATACAACATTTGAATCCATGGTTATGATCACATGCAGTGCAGCATGGAAATCATCATAACACTTTAAGGTCAAAGCATGAAATTCTTCATCATTAAGACTCTTCAACCTTATTTCACACTTTTCTTTCCTTACTTTATATACATGTCACTCATTTGGATTGCTATATTCATACTGATTAATTAATCCATTTGAGTTTTCAAATGATTAAAATTAATTAGTATGAAATTATCCGATTAGAAAAAGCATCATGCCCATCTGAAGATGTAAAAAGTCATGAGACGAGAGATGGAGGATTTCAATTATAGAAGATGGTGGGTGGTGGGAGAAGATGAGTTAAGACCCGAGAACCCGAGTCCGCCTGTCCATCCCCAATACTGGTTGTTCTCCAATGTGCCTAAGAAATGCTTTGTTGAGTTGCTCAATAATCCTCTATGATTTTCCTCCATTTTTGTTGAGGGTGATAATGATGATGATGCTTCCACTCCATCACTCTGAAAATTAGGATACATGTTTGAGTGTGAACCTAGAAGGTCAAACCCGTTTCCTAAGTAAGGAAACGGGAAACCCAGCTCCCCGATTCCTCCACCACTTCTTGGGTTGACAGTGACGGCATGCGGTGGAGGAATCCCAACTCCACCGCTAGAGTAGCCACAACTTCCGTCGTAACGGTTTAGGTTTTGGTGAAACGCTTCAGCCATGTGTGTTGGCGGCAATTGAGGAAAATGCCTGCCTATATCTGTAGGGCTTACGCATGCTGATGTCGTCAAACCTCCACCGCCACCGCCACCACCATCCACAGCCGTTTTCATCTCCATATTGGCTGTGGCTGCTGCTGAACTGGACTTTGAGCCGTGGTTATTGTTCTTGCTTCTCTTGTTCCTCCGGCAGCCTCCGCCGACGGGGACGTTTCGCAGGGCCCCACCTCTTGTCCAGTACCGGCGGCAAGTCTTGCAGAAGTGTCGTGGCTGCGTCAAGCTGTAGTTGTTGAAGTAGCAAAACTTGGTGTGCGTGGATTCGCACCTCGGACACTTTAAACCTGCTTCTGGTAACGGAATCTTGGCCTGCCTGGCTCGATCTACCATCGATCCGGGCCGGATCGATGCGAGACCGCCGCCTTCCGGAGCAGGTTGCTGCGGCGGTGCAGTTTGCAGCTGAAGGTTCTCTACTATGCCGCCACCAGCTCGTTCTTGGTGATTAAGTTCACTCTGCTGCAACTATATACATCCAATATCAAGAAAACCAAATACTCCGTATTAAAATAAATCTAAGGGTGTGAGTTGAAACAAATCAAGATAAGTTAGGGATCAAATCAAACAAACATGCATCACTATTAGCCATTATGTATGATAAAGCTAGAAAGATCAAGTATATTCAATTTTAAAAAACCGCATAACAAGGAAGTTGAATATGAATATTATCTCTTTATAATCTTGCTATCATTTTTTTCTAGGAGCTGATGAGGACAAGCATAGATATATGAAGCAAATAATAAAGTAAAAGGAAAAGGCACCTGGTGCAAATTTGGATGATCTAAATAGACTGGAAAAGAAGAGAAAGCCATGATTTTTTTTTTCTTTTGCGGCTTTAGTTTCAATGAAGATGGATCTCTTTAGATGGATCTCTTTAATCTTTATATCTTTAATAAAGTTTGGTGGGTGTTTTGGAAATATATGGTGGGAGCATCTATCAAGGAGAGAGGGAGCTCAGCAAGCAGGACTGAGAGACAGACCGACCAACAAAGAGAAATGGGATATAAAGTGGAAATTTTCTTAGGGTTTTCATGTGCTTTAGATGATCTAGTGGGTGGAAGCTAAGTTACTTAACATTGAAGCTTCCTTAAGGGGAAGGGAGAAGAACTTCAGTGGTCCTCAAAAACCCCACACTCCGTGCTCGAACCATGAAATGATCTATGGAAAGAATTGCTCAAATATGACTTGTAAAGTTCTTTGTTTTTTCCTTGTGACAATTCAAAAAGTAACTTCAAAATGCAAAAGTATTGAAATTCTTTCTCTTTTAATTTTAATTTACTCCGTCCCTTAAAACTTTGTAATCTTTTCTTTTTGCGACGTCCCAAAAAATTTTGTCACTTTCCCTTTTAATCAATTATTTTGTGGTTTCTGTTATTTCTCTCTCTCCTCTGGACAAATCTCAATCACACCGTTTTTACTTTATTATTCTCCGTGCCGATTAATTTTGACAAGTTTTAAGGGACGGAGGTAGTATTTTGTAATTACCATCAAGTTGTTCAAACAAACCATTAATTAGCTAATTCTCATTGCATCAAGTTTCCAAATCATCCAACGCAAAAATGATTTTCATTTACTCCCTAATGAATTGAATTCAAGACCTCTCATCAAAGTAAGATTATAAGTGTGAAACTCTTGATACACTTACTTGTCTCTTACCATTTAATTCATCCTTTCTATATCAATTTAAGTGCCCCTATTGATCCCAACCCTAGCAGATTGACGTGACACCACTGGGAAAAAATCACCAAATACGAAATCATATAAAAAAGGCTTGAATTGTCTCAATAAATATCATCCGGAAAAGCCTTAGTAACCAACGGTTACCACCATAGGATAAAATTCCATCAAAATTATGTACAACTCCTAGAAAATTATGAGAAAATTCACGAAATCGGCTACAGGCAGTTTCAGTGACATGTAAAGAAAATAATGGAATGACTTACCAATGCGTTAGCCCTGAATGTCATATATATAATAAAATAAGTGTTCAAAATACAACAGGAATCCAAGAAAATATGGAAACCCTATTCAATAATTAATATATTATTACACCCTCTCAATCTGTGTTGGGGAAACAACGTGTAAATTGTCTCTAAGAAAAATAAACTGTTGGGGAGACAATCACTTGTTCCATGGATTGATTATCCTTCTTTTTAATATGAGATAGCATGTGTTTCAATTCCATGGAGCGAGTTAGACTGGCAGCCATAAAACGACTTCAAACATTGCCATATGGCTATAGAGTTTTTCAACTCATGAACCTCAATCATAATCTCACGATAGAGTGTAGTAAAAATCCAGGAACGAAAAATTTGGTCAAATTTTAACCAATAATAATATTCAGATTCTATGGGTCATCCGGAAACAGTCTCTCTGTGCTTTAGTACAGGGGTAAGACTGCGTACATCCGACCTCCCCTTACCCCACCGTAGGTGGGAGCCTTTGCGGCACTGGGGTAAATGAAAATGAAATAATATTCAGATTAATGGTTTGAGCCTGATAACCAAACGTTTCAGCCCACCTGGTTGTGAGGTTACCGTGTCTAGTGGGAGGTCTCGAATTCGAAACCCGCTAGGCACATAAGGGTTTGAAAGTTAATGGAATGAGTTTTAGCCCTGATTACTCCAGCCCCCCAGCCCCCCTCCCCCAGACCCCCCTCAAGTAAAAAAAATGGTTTGAGCATGATATAAATCATAGGTATATACGGGTGGGATCGGAAGAGAGCCATCAAGTATTCCCAAAAGGCCATTGGAGACAAAAAAGACTCAAGTTGTGTACGCCAGGATAAATAGTCTAGTCTCTACGACCAACAATTTGATAGTGATAATAGTTGTACGCCATAGAAGAAGCACCAAAACCCATACCTCGAGCAAGAGTGGCAAATGATGTAGTCATGGGGGTAGGGGATGCCCTCTGGCCAACGGGACCTGTCGAAGCCGGAAGTTGAAGTCCGGGAGTGTCTCAAAACGTATGTCCAGCTGCAAATCGGTATCTGATATGCACTAATTAGTAGTGCATAAATGTATATTTTTATGTTTGTTTTGTGTGGATTGTTTACCTTTTTAGTTTGTGAACAATTGTGTGAATTTGTTTATAATTGTTTTTAGCTTTCATTTGTAAATTGTAAAGTAGAGGTAGTATTGTTGGTTTTGGAAAAGAGGAAAAAATGTTGCCCAGGAGCACTTACACTGCCGAGTAAAGACCTTCACCCGGTCGCGTAGACTCGAAATCCGAAGCTACAATTAAATTACACTACCCGGTCGGGTAGGCTACTTCACCCGGTCGGGTAAAGTCTCGAGATCAAGATCTCGAGGTTTAAATCTCGAGATCAAGATCTCGAGGTTTAAATCTTGAGATCAAGATCTCGAGACTTTGCCTTAGAAAATTTTGATGCAGTCCACCTGCCCCTTTTTTTGAAAAATCCAAAAACATCAGAAAATTCAGAAAAAAAAATGGAGGACTAATGTGCTGACCCCATTCTTTACAGTTCATTATGTCAGGCACTAATCAGGCACCAATTGATGATACCATCTACCCACGAGGAAAATGGATCAAGGTGCTGGACAAAACCTACCCGCTAAACCTGACGGTGTTCAAGTGCCAGGACCTGGTCATCCCGGCGATCATGAAGGGTCACTATCTCTGGCCTGCATTCCACAACGCCAAACCAGTGCCAGAGATATACCTGCAACAATTCTGGGGCCACATGCACACCGAGTCAGTGAAAGACCGCTCCAAAATCCTGACCAAGTTGAACAATATGAGAATGATTCTGACGCCGTCCACACTGCAGTCCACTCTAGAGCTGCCGGTCCACGACAATTATGATCCTCTGCCATCCATCCCAGACCTTCTCAAGGACGCAGCAGCTCTAGGTTATGCTTCCCTTCTCCCCAAGCTATCAAATTTCAACGGGCATACCTCCATCACCCATGGAAGAGTTTGTTCGGGCTAGTGAACAAGTGCCTGTCACCAAAGCATGCCGGACTCGACAAATGCAACAAGCAGATTCTCCTGGTCTTCCACGACATTGTCTACAACAAACAGTATGACATGGCTCAGCTATTCTTCATAGAGCTGATGGATCTGGTAAAGGCCAAAGAAAAGAACAAGGCAGGCACTGTTCCCTATGCTAGGTGGCTCGGGCTCATCATCAATGAAACCATGACAAAGCACAAATCCATCCCTCAACGCCGTGATGAACCCCATTTCACAGCTCCCAAGCTCCAATACTTCACCGACAAAAATCCTATCTATCGACTGCGGATCCCGGACTCACTGCTCAATCTTGTCAATCAGTCTAATCCTGTTGTTGTCCAATACAAAGAAGACTTTGATAGAACAGTCCCTATGGTTCCGCAAATCCCAGCTGGACCTACCCCAGGGACTAAGTCGAGTGAACGTGAGGGTCCAAAGAGAGCCCCTAACCCACAGAAACCAGTGGCCCGTCAGCCCCATGAAGGAAAGTCCGACGACTCTCTCGAGAAGAGTCAGACGGCTGAGGGCACCTCAACGGACGCTAAGGAATCTGCCGATGAATCGTCAAGTTTGGCCCCCAATGAGACTGACGACGAGGCATCCGAGAGCGTGGGCACACATAGTGATGACGAGGATGATGATGACGATGATGACATTGACGGAGTTGAGGCCACATTTGCGATGCTTCAAAAGGGAAAGATGATCGTCTCACCTCCGAAAAAGATCATTGTTGAAGATGCAGCTCCCGTAATAGCCGGTCGCACTAAGACGTTCACCATGAAGGAAATTCAGCAGTCAGAGAGCGTCTTTAATGAAAAAAACTGCTCCAAATCCGACTATGAAGAGGCTGCGTGTTAGTCCCTGTTTCTGTAACAGCAATGAATAATCGATCTAACAAGGAAGATTAAACGTTAAAGATGAACACAGAATGAATCACCGTAAAACCTTCTTTGATAAACCGTGGAACGTACAACAGAATGATAAGCGTAAGGCTATGAATAATAAGTACGACGTTCAGCCTTTTCCTAAACCTCGGCTCCCTTTTTATAGGCGAGGTTTAGGTTAGGCGTATCAGGCTTTTGGCCTGTTTAAATGGGCCTAACACTTGGCCTGATTTCTATCTAATTTATGCACTATTTAAATACAAGGATTAAATATAAAGCTAATCTATGACCAACTTGATTCACAATTAAATATCTCCAACAATCTCCCCCTTTGTGATCAAGTGCCATTCTCTTTATTGCTTCTGTGATTTGAAGTAGTGCTTCCTCAATCCAAGTGCATGTTCATACTGCCTTAGCATATTTCTCTTTTCGAGGCGATCGTCAATGGCCTTTAAAATTGTCTCTACAGTAGAGTGTTCCTTTTGAACATAAGACGATGCCTCTTGAAGATTTTCCTCTAGCTTTGCCTTCATCGGTAGAATCTGCTCTCTGATTATCTTCAGTGTTCCGTCGCAGTACTTCTCGATTTCACTGACTACCATCAGACGCTTTTCGTTCTTGTGGTTCAGATAGGTGACTGCTGGCGGTTTGAAGAAGATGTGGTAGGCTGGGAAATCTTCAACTTCTGGACCATACAGTTTTGGCTTTGTCAGATTTGTCTTCTTTAGATTGCATTCAATAGCCATCTGTAGGTCATGTGAAGAGTGTACTCTGATCTGTCTAAGCATGAATCTCTTGATAGCTGCGAGGCCTTCGCTGTATACTATGTTTTGCCTGACTGGAAGGTATCTGTAGGCCATGAGCATTTGGTAGATGTCATCCGGTTTCAGCATGATGAAGTCGTTCTCTTGACAAGTGAATTCGCTCCCATCGGTGCGTTGAAGTCTGAAAGTGTAGAACGTTACTCCATGATAGTCTTCAGCCTTCACTTGTAGAATTTGATGAATCGGGAGAATATTCGACTTCAGATCTTGTTCCATTAGTTCTCTCTGTGTACCGGTTGACCTTTGCAGCAACATATGCAGATGACCTCCAGCCTGCTTTCCTTTCAAGTGTGTAAGGCCTCTTAGCTTCCGTTCATTCAGTGGCTTGACTTTGTCTGGTCTACGCCAGATATGCTCTCTGATTTCTTCTTGGAAGGGGGCTTTGATACGAACATTATCCCAGGGTTTCTCTGTCTTGGGAAGTCTTCCCGCTGTTTGTCTTATGACTGATTCAAGAA